TTTTGATTTGCGATTGTACGCTTATAATTTTCTTTATATGTTTTTTCATAACCAGCAATGTATATTATATGTCATGAATAAGTGATAATTGTGTTTTAATTATGTTTGATTTTTTGGTTGCATGTGACCTTTAACAAAAAAAAAAGGGATGTTAAACTATATCATGAGTTAATAATGAATTAGAAATAATTATTAATAATATTAGTAGAAATTAGCAATAATCATAGTTAAAATTAGTAATAATTAGTAATATCATTACATATAGATCTACAATGCATAATAATGAGTATGACAATTATCAGTTTTATAAACTTAGCTTCTAAACCCATTAATAATTGGTTTAATATGTTCCCTGCATTAACTCACAGTATTCAAGATAGAAAAGTCTTGCCTGTAATTCTGACTATGATGTTGCTATTTGATTAATGCAATGAGAGTTTCTTCAATTCATGTATTAAACCTCATCTTAGTTACCAATATGGTGACACTGTCATGATTTATCCAGTCCAGTGTCGAAAACTGTGGACTGGCAACTTTTGGCCATTGCCTGTCCAGACGTCTGGTTAGAATGTACTGAATTCTAAACACTGTATTTGGGTGGACCAACTCAAGTGTATTGCAACTTCAGCCTTGTTCCCCAACACCTGAACTGTCAGTGAAGGTCTTAATGCTAAGACTGCTTTGTGAAGGGTGACGATGTACTTGTGACTGCATAACTTGAAGTAATGTTTTTTCTATTGCTTAAAGGACTGCCATGTATTTCCCGTATACAGAGAATCTCACCCAAGTGTCTACTGATAACAATTATATCAACACGAGTTGATATAGTTACAAATATCCAAGGCTTGCCCAGGATATTTTGATTTTATCAACAAGTGTTGATATATTTGATATGAGAAGACACGAGGGTGAGATTCTATTTATCATCAAAAATCACTCTTCATTAGTTTTCAATGGATAATGTATATCTCTGAACACAGTACTGCCATTAGACTTGCAGTGCAGCGATGTCATAGCATTGTGATGTCATCAAGTTTATGATGTCATCAGGTTCTTGACATCATAGCATTGAGAGTCATGTAATCTGTCAGGACATTGTACAAAATCTACTGTCAACACAGTATCACCTTGGAGATATTGTTTGATCTCATACAAGCAATATCTCCAGTGCAACACAGTTTTGGATGATGAATCTGTATACTCAATAAGCTTTTTCCTGACACTACATATTGCAATATTTTTCTGTTATATATTTGGTTAAATGATAATAAATTTCATTGCTTTTGTATCAGACAACCTAAAATCTACTCAGACACATTCATTCACAAAAGATGCCACAAAATTGATTGCCAAGTACTCTGAGACGAGAAAGTATTTATTCTCTAAAGAAGTATTTACGACTACAATATGGAGGTGACAGACCATTCTGATTTGGACATCGATGCAAACATGATAGGAAACTTGGAGGTTAGTAAACACTATGAATGAACGCTACAAGTGAAAGGGTTAGTAAACACTATGAATGAATGCTACTACTGAAAGGGTTAGTAAGCACTATGAATGAATGCTACTACTGAAAGGGTTAGTAAGCACAATAAATGCTAGCTATTGATCTCATCAGTAGAAATCAGTCAGCCTCCTTATCTCTATCTCCGCTATTGTTAGTTGGAGAACTCAGAGCTGTCTAATCCCAAGCAGATGTTTGGCTGGCTTGTTTAGAAATACTTTGTACTAAGTACTGGAGCTGTCCCCAGAAGCTTCACACACAGCTGTAGTGATGATGATGATGATGATGGTGATGGTGATGATGGGCGGCGGTGATGATGATGATGATGATGATGGTGATGGTGATGATAATTTTATTATTTTATTATTTTTATTTTTTATTATTGGATATTTATATAGCGCACATATCCACGCAACTAGTACATGCTCAAGGCGCTGGTATTTGTTCCCTTGATCATTGGATGTCAATCTCAACGGCACATCATATTACCAATCTCAACTCCCTGGGGAGTATACAACTCTTGCTGCCACTAGGCGCACCGAGTTATTGTGGCTTTCTCATCCTAACGAGATACCCATTCACAGCTGGGTGGACTGGGACACATATTCACAGCACTTTGTCCAAGTTTACTGCACGTTGCTGTACCAGCAACTAGGTGTTTGCACGTATTCATGTGGCCACCATCTGGTCATATACCAACGGATTCGTGGGTTCTTTTAAGTGCACAGGGTTGTGTACTGTAGTCTAGGGGTTGTGACAACCCGGAAAGAGTCTGCACACAAAGTTGACTCCAAGGTTTTCACACCCGGTCACAGGTGGGCTCGATCCCGGTACCTCATCATGATGATGATGATTCTGCTGCTGATGATAAGGGATAATAAATTCTGTCACTGTTCAAATTCATACACGGCATGAAAGAATCAGAATAAATTATGTCGCAAGCGGCGGCGACAGAAACCTGTGTTTGTTGGGAGAGGCAATTAACAGGATCGGGTGGTCAGGCTTGCTGACTTAGTTGACACATCATCGTATCCCAATTGCGTAGATCAATGTTCTTGATCACTGGATTGTCTGGTCTAGACTCGATTATTAAGACCGCCACCATATAACTGGGAAATTGCTGATTGCGGCGTCACTCACTCACTCACAGAATACATACATATAAATGTGTGAGTTGCACAGACTCAAAATTCTCACTCGGATGGCAAGGTGGGCTTGAAGCCGGGACAGTTTCAAATTACACCAGCTAAATAATGAGAAAGTTCATTTTTCCTCAAAATGATTTTACAGAAGTATCACGAGAGTAAACCCCAATTACAAATAATTAATTTGATCTACTGATATTACTCATATTTTTTTTTAATTCTATGGTTCAATCGATCTACGGATCAGGGTCATCATTTCTTCTATCTTTAATCAACTAAGAGGTGTGCTTAAACAGTATACTGTTAATCAGATAAGGTTCCCAGCAAGTCATTTAGGAATTATTAGGACAACTGAATGTTTGCTAGCTAGGGAAAGCCACAATTCACACACTGCATTTACAGCATGTTTAATTGTACATTACACTGGCTGGATATGAATTTTACAAAAATGGTTCAGCAGTTTTAACAATTTATGTTTCTAAATCATATGAGAATTCTTGGAGCTGTCTAGAGATGAACTATTTAGAACATTAATGCAAACTTTAAATGACATTTATTTTCGCATTTGCAAAGATAACAAGGGGAATCTTTTATTGCCAGGCAGATGGTTTCACTATGTTGCAAGTCTGTAACATTTTAGTCTCATTCTGTTACATCTACAGAAGCTAAAATATGTCATTAAAATGTAACCAAATGTTTCAAGCTGGCACAAGGTAATACAACTAAACTTCAGTGTTTTTAATGCAATGAACCACACAGCATGGCCAACCAACAGTAACGGTTATTGTACTATGGAATAAATTGTTTACATTATTTATATCAGAAACTATATTCAGGAAAACAATTTACTTCACAAGAGTGAGTGTGAATGTTTTACCTAACATGTTGTTTGTTTGTTGTTTAACGTCGCACTCAGCAATATTCCAGCTATATGGTGGCAGTCTGTAAATAATTGAGTCTGGACCAGACTATCCAGTGATTGACATCAAAACAAAGTAATAGGGATACCATGACATACATTAACCAGGTCAGTGAGACTGGCCAGTCTGTTGTTTAACGTCGCACTAAGCAATATTCCAGCTATATGGTGGCAGTCTGTAAATAATTGAGTCTGGACCAGACTATCCAGTGATTGACATCAAAACAACATAATAGGGATACCATGACATACATTAACCAGGTCAGTGAGACTGGCCAGTCTGTTGTTTAACGTCGCACTAAGCAATATTCCAGCTATATGGTGGCAGTCTGTAAATAATTGAGTCTGGACCAGACTATCCAGTGATTGACATCAAAACAACATAATAGGGATACCATGACATACATTAACCAGGTCAGTGAGACTGGCCAGTCTGACCATCGAGTTAGTTGCTGGTTATGACATGTATGGTTTGCTGATGATCAATTCTAACCTTGATCTTCATAGGTACATAACATGAAAACCTGTGAAGATCCGTGTTGGAATTGGTCTTCAGAAACCTGTGTTTGTTGTAAGAGGTAATTAACGAGATCAGGTGGTCAGGCTCGCTGACTTTGTTGACACGTGTCCTCATATCCCAATTGTTTAGATCAATACTCTTGAAGTTTATCACTGGATTGTCTGATCCAGACTCGAATATTTACAGGCCACCACCATATAGCTTGAATATTGCTGAGTGCTGCTTTAACAACAAACACACAAAAGAAACATTATAAAAACAATAACTTATGGAAAAGCAATATTCCAATAAGATCATGATGGAAGAATCTCAATCGTGTTTATATTTTCTGTTATAGGATATGTGGCCTGTCTTAGAATTAACAGGCAGTAGGCAATGTTGGGCGAACTCGTTTCAGGTAACCTGAGAGCTACTTTGCCTTTCAGATGCCACAAACTTGCTAGGCTGCACATATTCCAGTTAAAACCTTCATGATGTTGTATAGGTATATATAAATACATTATTCATAGTAAACAGCAACCACAAGATTAATAATTCATTAATCATCTTATAAGACTGCCAAGCTTCGTTTACACTGGCATGCTACAGGTATGTAAGTTATTTTGGTCAAACGTTTTCACAGCTACAGATTCTATATTGTCAGCGGAGATTTCACGAATAGAACCATTGTCAAATCTAACACAAGATATAATCATCATTTAAAACTGTCAAAACAAACATCGATCGTTCGATAAACAACGACATACCTCAGTGAATACATGCACGGTGTTTAGTGCAAGGCAATCGAAATCGACATTATCTATTCAAGTAGCGGGTTGTCATGGCCCAAACAACCTTGATGGGGGAAAAGCCATGGAACTTGGAATCAGTCAAGAAGCGACTGTAATCAACTACAGGTGTGAATGTTACCTGTCAGGCTCACGCGCTGTGTATTTGCAGCTAACAAAACCCTGCCAACACGAATCTGATCCACTGCAGGTAGTTCGTTCTCACCCAGCCTTCTCTCACACGGGTGGACGGTTCGTCACGCTCTGTGATTAAGGGGAGACAACTATGCAAGGCTCCAAATCTTCGAAGGGTATTGGCACTCACACATCTAAATCCTTCCCAGGATTATAAGATTATGAACATATTTTACGCTGTGCGTAGGGATTATACAGTACACTATGTAATTTCAAATAATACAGATTTTGTGGATGAAATTTGTATTCACGAATAAAAGTCAGCTTTCGTGATTTCATTTGGTTGTAAAAATGCGAATGATGATATAATTTCTGTAAAATAGCGCCATCTTAAAGTTATTTTTATAAATGTTTCGGTAAATCTTCCCTCACCTGGAAAGGTTAGCAAAAGAAGTCCAATTACAAAAAAAACAAACAATTCGTAGTGTCGAGTTCGAGCATATTTTTTCTCTCGGGTAAGTTGTAGCATTTATTTTATAAAATTCAGAGAACTGTAGAATTCCAAGAGATGTCTGCTCTTTGACAGCCAATCTGGTGTTGGAACGTCGCCTCACAAACATCTTGAGACGCCAGCTTTATGAGCATGAAACAAAACAGTATAATGCCCAATAACAATGAACATTAATGTTTTGTTTGTTTGTTTAACGCAGCACTCAGCAATATTCCAGCTGTATATCACGACAGTCTGTAAATAATCCAATCTAGACCAGACAATTCAGTGATCAACAGCATGATCATCGATCTGCGAGCTTGGGAACCGATGACATGTGTCAACCAAGTCAGCGAGCCTGACCACCCGATCCCGTTAGTCGCCTCTTACGAGAAGCATGGGTTGCTGAAGACCAATTCTAACCCGGATCTTCACGGGTCAGTAACAGTTTGAATTGCCCTTCAAATTATAACACGTTTAAATTTTTTATTATTCACCCCATCTACAATAACCTTCGCTCCCATACCTCAACATAGACACAAAGTAGACTTAGCGCTAAGGTTGTTTCGTACAACGGCACCCAATTCTACAATCCACGCTTGTAAGAGGCGACTGGCGGGACCGGATGTTCAGCCCCGGGGACTTGGTTGATATACGTCATGGGATCCCAATTGCGAAAATCGATGCTCATGCTGTTGATATTAATGGATATAATCCCTTGAATTGATGTCCAAATGGGTAATATAAGACACGAGTGTCTGGAAATCCAGGTTAATGTCTTGTCGTCACGTTCTCCTAATAGTTACACACCTATTTATGTATTGAATATTTAGTCCTCTGTTAATCATACATCATCGGGTACACGAGGACGAGTCGGGTTTAGCTGGACTCCAGTCCATTTTCAAGGACTCGAGGACTCGAAAAGGGGAGATAACTCGAATTATTGACGTTGACAGACTGTCTGCCATGTGCTAAGCATGAGCGGCCGTTAGAAGTACGATGAAAAAAACACTTGTCAAGTAAACATCCAAATACTGATTCTGACCAATGGGAAATGTTAGTCACATAACGATATGAAGTCGGAATGAAGTAAGTAGTCACTTGTGTGATCGGAACACATGTCATGCAAGTTACGCTATTGTTTGCTTGAAACGTATGAATTTCGAGTACTCGTGTCCGAGTCGAGTCTCACCCCTCGAGTACTCGAGTCCAAGAAAATGGACTCGTTGAAGCCCTAGTTAATCAATACGACATGATTACAGTCTGTTCAGACACGAGTTAATCATCAATATTCATTACGTAAAGCATCCATTTCCGCACCAGTTTGGTCGATATGGTAACATAAATACAACGACTAGTCGCTCACTGTTCTTTTTATCGCGGATTAAAGATAATAATTTTCATAAGGAGAGTTCCTAAAACATTTTGACAAAATGTCTCTCCGCGTCATGCATTTTCCAAAAAGCTGTTACAGTACAAGTACACTGCACATGCTGCATTAAAGAGCATAGATGTCCATACCTTGCTTAAGGCCAAGGGTAATTAATCGACCCGTGAAGATCAGGGTTATAATTGATCTTCAGTAACCCATGCTTGTCGTAAGAGGCGACTTACGGGATCGGGTGGTCAGGCTCGCTGACTTGTTTGACACATGTCATCGGTTCCCAATTGCGTAGATCGATGTTCATGCTGTTGACCACTAGATTGTCTGGTCATGACTCGATTATTTACAGACCGCCGCCATATAGGTAGAATATTGTTGAGTGCGGCGTACAACTAAACTCACTCACTCACTCCAATGGTAATCGTGGCACTTGTCCGAGTTTAAGCAGAATCTCCCTTTTTACATTAAAAGATATATTTACTGAAGTCTGCCTCACAGGCCCTGAACCATATTCCATTCAACCCAGTCCATTCTTGCAGGCAAAATATCTAAATGAAGCAAGTCTGGATGTTCGTCAGATTCCGGACCTGAATCTCTCTGGGTTTCAGGTAAGGGGCGGTGGTGTAGCCTAGTGGTTAATGCGTCCGCTCGTCAAGCCGAAGACCCGGGTTCGATTCCCCGCATGGGTACAATGTGTGAAGTCCATTTCTGGTGTCCCCCCAGCCGTGATATTGCTTGAATATTGCTAAAAAGCCATACTCACTCACCCATTTCAGTTAAAATGAAATTCTCTGTTAAATATCAAAACCATATACTTTTCAAGACTAAGTGTGTAATTACCTTCACCTCTAATAATGGCCGGGGGCGGTGGGGTAGCCTAGTGGTTAAAGCGTTGGCTCGTCACGCCGAGGACCCGGGTTCGAATCCCCACATGGGTACAATGTGTGAAGCCCATTTCTGGTGTCCCCAGCCGTGATGTTGCTGGAATATTGCTAAAAGCGGCGTAAAACCAAAACTCAGTCAGTCAGTCTAATAAGGGCGGATACAGCTTTTTTAGAAAGGAGGGTAGGGGTTGGGGTGCACACTCTTGAGAAAGTGGGGTTGCACACTTCATTTTCACTTGAGTTTCAATGGTCATTTAATAAACTTTCAGGACAAAAAGGAGGGGTGTGCACCCCTGCACCCCAGGAACTGAAGAGGAGTTTTCTCGCCGCGACTCAGTGTGTCTTTGGGCCTCGGGATCCTGTTGTCGACCTCTCTGTAGACTCGCTTGCGACTTGGAGGAGCAGCCCCAAAGTCGAGTTGTCTCAGCTTGGCTCTGTCAGCCATCTCGATCCTCCGAATTACTTCCTCAAAGCGAAATATGTTGGGGTGGCGGTGTGGAAGGGATCTGTTCATCCGACCGTGAAAACCTTCCAAGTTGTTGTTGGTCCAAACTAATACATATACTGGTATTATTAATTACTGTTTTATCCTAACCTATTTCAAGGATATGATTCGTTGCTTTTATGTCATTCATATAAATTACTACTCGAGTTATAATTTGATTTCAGAGAGTATTTAGCTGTGTATATGCCTTATCAAGATCGCAGTGGACCTGTTGTTCTTATGTGCAGAAGGTGATACTAAAATGTCGAATTGGGAGGGAGTAAACGAAAAATAACAACCGAAAAGAGCTGTGATACTTTTTTTGGGATGAAACAAAATATTTGTTCAGTATGGTGTCCCGTTATGCTAATTTTTTTACGAATGTATACCAATTTCGGCTTTTTTTATTGTGTTTAACAAATGCGGAAACATACCATTTTACTTTAATAATTGATGTTCTCGTATAACTATGAATCACAAATGTGCTTGAGCATGTACAAGGACTACAGACCCGTGAAGATCCGGGTTAGAATTGCTCTTCAGTAGTGAGTGAGTGAGTTTAGTTTTTGTAGCAAGCATTGGTTGCTGAAGACCTATTCTACCCCGGATCTTCACGGGTGTGCTCTTCAGTAACCCATGCTTGTCCTAAGAGGCGAGTAACGGGATCGGGTGGTCAGGCTCACTGACTTGGTTGACACATGTCATCGCACCCCAATTGCGTAGAATGATGCTTATGATGTTGATCTTTGGATTGTCTGGTCCAGCGGGATTATATGCAGACCGCCGCCATATAGCTGGAATATTGCTGAGTGCGGCGTTAAACAACAAAGAAATAAACAAAGACTATTACCGTGTGACATTTTTACATCATTGCGATGCATGAATATTCCTGCTTCTTGAAACATTGAGTATTATCTGTTTAAGAGTTTTCGAGTTAGATTGCAATTCATCGGTCCGCTTTTGAGGCAAACGCACTATTTTTATGCTTTGTGAACACACGATTATGCGGGTAAGTAAGTGAGTATGCATGGTTTTGCTCCACTTTTAGCAATATTCCAGTAATATGACGACAGGGAACACCAGGCATGGGCTTCACATATTGTACCCAGGTGGGCATTCGAACCCGGGTCTTCGGCGTGACGGGCGAACGCTTTAACCACTAGGCTACCGCACCGCCCCTATGCGGATGAATACCCAGCATAAAATGCCACAGTTAAACGTCGTTGCTTTTCTACTGTTTATCCCATATGTTGCATAACATTTTGTTTGTTTATTGCATAACATTTTATTCCTATTTCCAGCTGTTGGTACTGAGAAAATATGATCATCTCAAAACCCTTCAACCCACCATGCTGGTATCCCACGTTTTAATATGAAACCCCCAGTGTTTGAAAAGGAGGAAATGTTGAAAAGGATTAGTTGAATTATCGCTTAACCATGTTGAATCGTCCGTCTCAACAGCGTTATTCACTGTGAAGTGAGTGAGTTTAGCTTTACGCCGCTTTTAGCAATATTCCAGCAATATCACGGCGTGGGACACCAGAAATGGGCTTCACACATTGTACCCAGGGTGGGACTCGAACCAGGGCCTTCGGCGTGACGAGCGAACGCTTTAACCACTAGGCTACCCCACCGCCCTATTCACTGTGGGTGTTTACAACATTTGTAAATATCAATGCTATACTACCCATCAAAAGTTAAGACTCACTAGTGTAAATGTAGCCACTTACTTCAGGCAACTGTTCTAAACTAAATTCTTCAAAATATGCCATACTGTTTAAAGGTAATGTTTACATATGAACTGATGTATTGTAAAACAAATTCGAATTCGTAACGTTGAAAAGATTATTGTCATGAGTTCAATAAATGATTAAAATCAGTGAAAATTGGCGAATTCTTAACAAAACTTTACACCAAAACGCAGATGTTTACATGCACGATATTTGCACATGCTTTTCAGCAATTTGATGCATGATCCTCGTGCAATTCATCTGCATAAGGTTTGCAGTTGGTTCCCCCAAGTTAGTGGAGAAATCAATCTTCAATGTAACCATACATATATACATAACATATAGCGAGTGTTTTAAGTGAATCTAAACTATTGAAAGGAAGTATTTATAGTAAGGAAGAAAGCAGCTGGAATTCTTTATTCACCATTAATTTAAAAGGAAAATTAAAGCACATTGGAAGTAATAGTTATCTCCCCAATGCAGCATTATATAAATCCCTAGCACTGTCGTGGTTGTCCTGAGAAACAACTATACTGAGGTGAGGTGAGGTGAAATTCGATTTAACGTCGTGCTTGAGAATATTTCGCTCAAATGACGACGTGCATGCGCGTGTGTGTGTATGTGCGGCTGCTTGTACTAGCCCAGTACTTAAGCTGGTTTTATAGTGCTAGCCCACTGAGATACCATGCCGCAGTGAAGCATGAATACCCCACTCAGACACTTTATACTGACTCCGAGCCGACCAGTCTTTGTTGTACCCATTAATGCCGAGCGCCAGGCAGGGACCAACAAGTACCATATTTTAACGTCTTTTGGTATGACGCGGTCGGGGATCGAACCCGCGACCTTCCGCTCTCCGGGCGGACGCTCTAACCACTACACCACGGAAGCGGTCACTATACTGACGTAATTAAAAAAGAGTACACACCTGTTATGTTTGGGGACTTTAATCACTTTTCAAACACAACGTAAATATTTTGAAAAGCGTTTTGCAAGTCACAATCTTTGTGTACATCATGGATCGGTTAGTAAGGCTCGGTGGCTTGGCTGGCAATGTGCCCGGATGGGAGAAGGTGTTCACAATATCGACCACAGGTTTACCTTACCAGTCTCAATTTCCAACATTCTGAAAATTATCTATCATGAACATTGCTGTAACATGAAACGATAAATAATGAAAAGTAATAAAACCATGTTTACCAAGCCAGAGTAGTTTCCCCTGACGGCTGATGCTAGTGTTTACTATTTACCGCAACGTGTTTGCGCCTTTCAGTGATTTCAAAGGCAACAATAATTACTGTCCGTATAACCACTTCAATCAGCTCAGTGAGGGTGAGGAGGCTAGCACCGAGGAAGAACCCCATCTGTCCTCCTAGCTTGCCTGAAATACAACAAAAGTTTGTTGGTTTTTGACAGATAATCTTGTGTTGTTTGTTGTTTATCGGCGGTCTGTAAACAATCAAGTCGGGACCAGACAATCCAGTGACCAACAGCATGAGCATCGATCTGCGCAATTGGGATACGATGACATGTGTCAACCAAGTCAGCGAGCCTGACCACCCGATCCCGTTAGTCGCCTCTTAGGACAAGCATGGGTTGCTGAAGATCTTCACGGGTATAATAGATACATACTCTGAATAATAGTGACAGGCAAGGTTTATGTAACCACACACGCACACGCACATGTAGACTGCTCCACGTCGACCCTCCCTTCAAGCATCATTTCAATAGGGAGAGTTATCGCCCCTCGCAACAAAAAGGTCGCCCATTCATATATAAATTCGTCACTGGAAAAGTTATATATTACCAATGTCGCTTTTAAGTACACCGAGGGGCGGCGGGGTAGCCTTATGGTTAAAGCGTTCGCGCGTCACGCCGAAGACCCGGGTTCGATTCACCACCTGGGTACAATGTGTGAAGCCCATTTTCTAGTGTCCCCCGCCGTAATATTGCTGGAATATTGCTAAAAGCGGCGTAAAACTAAACTCACTCATTCACTTTAAGTACACCGAAACATTGCTTTTAAGCCACGTTATAATCGGGACATACCGAATATGTCGCTGGGTGTTATTTCCGGCACGTGCTCCACGTGGTACTGGATCATTCCGTCAAACATCACCCTCACTTCTACGTAGTCATCTCTGAAATATATCACACGTACTTGAATGAATGCTGTTACACACCGCACTTCATCTAACAGCCTTGTCGAGACATCTAAATTACGAACTGACTTAACGCAGAAATTCCATTTTTGGAGGTTAAACACAAAAATCATTTTATTCATCCATTACAAATAAATAGAATTATTTTTGACTATTAAAGCTAAAAACGCCATACAACAATCCAAATTCCGGGGCATCGTTCACAGCAAGAACGCATCCCGAGGCGCCGCCCACGATAATATCTGCAAGTCAACAAACCGTACTCAACTTGTGTTTTTTTCGGTTTAGGGGACCATGCAGGCAAAACCATTGCTTCCTTAGGTTTGTGGGGCGCTGGGGTATCCTAGTGGCTAGTGCATTCGCCCGTCACGCAGAAGACCCGGGTTCGATTTCAATAGTGGATACAATGTGTGAAGACCACTTCTGGTGTCCCCCGCCGTGAAATTGCTGGAATATTGCTAAAAGCGGCGTAGAAATATACTCACTCACTCACTCTTTGGGTTTGTCATTCAATACCAGCAAAAATGGTGAACATCCGAGACTGGCATCATTTGAGGTTTCATCCCACAAAGTTACTGCCAAGCCGTCATATAACTGAAATACTGTTAAAAGCGGCGTAAGTTTCAACCGTACTCACTCACTCAGTCTGCGAGAGTAAAGTTCAATAACCTGATTTGTTGGTAGGATTCAGCATGACCGTTCCTGAGCAAGGACTCCGATATCATGTGACTGGGAAAGGCGGCGAGAGAGGTTCTCAAGTCATACTTGACAAAATGACAGGGCTGAGGACACTGGCACGCTGACCCGTTCTGGAGGTACGCCAGTTTCAACGTCTTAACTGGGAACACGATGCAAGGAAAATATAACTTGGGTCCGGGGTCCGGATCCACAAAGCGTTCTTAATAATACGACCTATCGTAACACTATACTTTATCATAGGCTTACGAATGGCATAGAGCTAAGAACGTTTTAGGGATCGGGCCCCGATCCACAAAACATTCGTAACCCTATGATAAACTTAAGAGTTACGACAGGTCGTAACGTTACGAACGCCTAGTGGATCGAGACCCTGGACAATGGGCTTATTGTCGTGTCGTAACTGTAGATTATTCTATGCCAAAATAGCCTCAGATTTGGTACATGTAGTTTAAGACGTAACACTATAAGAGGTATGCTTGAACGGGTATACAGGGATTGCGCCTATTTCGTACAGAAAAGAGGTAATATTCGTGACACACTCGTGTTATTCCGGGACAAGCCGAACACCGACTCGAGCCACTCTGGAACATAAGTCCGTTTGCTGCAAAATCGTACCGATGACATGGCAAAAAATATACATTCAAAAGCAACACATCGTCTTGAATGTCACGAACAAACAAAACCGTCACTATAATTTCAGACATTGGCATGAAGAAGAGGGAAAATTGTTTAACAAACGATCATGCAAATTTTGGCGTTTTAGTTACTCTTGTAACAAAGGGGTATTATGCAACGTATGTAGAACAGTCCATCATTTGCACGTGAAAATCACACGTGTCTTCCCAACCGTCTACTGCCTTCTCTGCAATAAAAACCTGTCAAAAGAAATGCCGACAATATTGATAAGTTGAGACCGAAGCTTCATATTGGAAAAATCATGCAACGGTCCGTCAAATTGTTATTTCAGTCGACATTGACAGTGACAATGAAAATATTTCCGACTAGAATTTATGAGACTATCCCTGTGTTTGGCGATACCGTTGAGATGTTTTGTTTCTTTTGCCCAGTTGTTACAACTATTCCCTTGAAATGAATGAATAAATGAATGAATGAATGAATGAATGAATAACAGCGTGTGTCTTAATTTATTTTCGAGTTTGGTCTTCTCATGGCCTCGGGGGTGGCGGGGTAGCCTACTGGTTAAGGCGTTCACTCCTCACGCCGAAGACCCGGGTTCGATTCCCCACATGGGTACAATGTGTGGAGCTCATTTCTTGTGTCCTCCGCCGTAATATTGCTGGAATATTGCTAAAACCATACTCTCTCACTCACTCTCATGGCCTTATTCATAATCCACCAAATAATGTAATGAGACTCATACCAGTTTGATTACATGTAATAATGTAGTGAGACATGTAAGGCTTTTAAAATTATGGACCTACCGGTTTCATGCCAAAAGCAGTAGTGAGCTTCCTCTCTTGAACAGATTCTCACGTTAACTGGATCTGGAGAAAACCATGATGAGTTACTAAACAATATGCCAGGCTGGCTTCCTATACCGTTTGATCCAGTGAGTGAGTAGATGAGAAGGTAGGGGCGGGGTGGTGGCGGAGAGCAATATAACAGCTGATTTACATAGATTTATAGAATAACTAAGTGATCAAGAGAAGGGAATCTGGATAGTTTTATAGAATAACTAAGTGATGAAGAGAAGGGAATCTGGATAGTTTTATAGAATAACTAAGTGATGAAGAGAAGGGAATCTGGACAGTTTTATAGAATAACTAAGTGATGAAGAGAAGGGAATCTGGATAGTTTTATAGAATAACTAAGTGATGAAGAGAAGGGAATCTGGATAGTTTTATAGAATAACTAAGTGATGAAGAGAAGGGAATCCGGACAGTTTTATAGAATAACTAAGTGATGAAGAGAAGGGAATCTGGATAGTTTTATAGAATAACTAAGTGATGAAGAGAAGGGAATCCGGATAGTTTTATAGAATAACTAAGTGATCAAGAGAAGGGAATCTGGATAGTTTTATAGAATAACTAAGTGATAAAGAGAAGGGAATCTGGATAGTTTTATAGAATAACTAAATGATCAAGAGAAGGGAATCTGGATAGTTTTATAGAATAACTAAGCGCTCAAGAGAAGGGAATCTGGATAGTTTTATAGAATAACTAAGTGATGAAGAGAAGGGAATCTGGATAGTTTTATAGAATAACTAAGTGATGAAGAGAAGGGAATCTGGATAGTTTTATAGAATAACTAAGTGATGAAGAGAAGGGAATCTGGATAGTTTTATAGAATAACTAAGTGATGAAGAGAAGGGAATCTGGATAGTTTTATAGAATAACTAAGTGATGAAGAGAAGGGAATCTGGATAGTTTTATAGAATAACTAAGTGATGAAGAGAAGGGAATCTGGATAGTTTTATAGAATAACTAAGTGATCAAGAGAAGGGAATCTGGATAGTTTTATAGAATAACTAAGTGATGAAGAGAAGGGAATCTGGATAGTTTTATAGAATAACTAAGTGATCAAGAGAAGGGAATCTGGACAGTTTTATAGAATAACTAAGTGATCAAGAGAAAGGAATCTGGACAGTTTTATAGAATAACTAAGTGATGAAGAGAAGGGAATCTGGACAGTTTCATAGAATAACGAAGTGATGAAGAGAAGGGAATCTGGATAGTTTTATAGAATAACTAAGTGATGAAGAGAAGGGAATCTGGATAGTTTTATAGAATAACTAAGTGATGAAGAGAAGGGAATCTGGATAGTTTTATAGAATAACTAAGTGATGAAGAGAAGGGAATCTGGACAGTTTTATAGAATAACTAAGTGATGAAGAGAAGGGAATCTGGATAGTTTTATAGAATAACTAAGTGATGAAGAGAAGGGATCCGGATAGTTTTATAGAATAACTAAGTGATCAAGAGAAGGGAATCTGGATAGTTTTATAGAATAACTAAGTGATAAAGAGAAGGGAATCTGGATAGTTTTATAGAATAACTAAATGATCAAGAGAAGGGAATCTGGATAGTTTTATAGAATAACTAAGCCAAGAGAAGGAATCTGGATAGTTTTATAGAATAACCAAGTGATGAAGAGAAGGAATCTGGATAGTTTTATAGAATAACCAAGTGATGAAGAGAAGGAATCTGGATAGTTTTATAGAATAACTAAGGATGAAGAGAAGGAATCTGGACAGTTTTATAGAATAACTAAGTGATGAAGAGAAGGGAATCTGGATAGTTTTATAGAATAACTAAGGATGAAGAGAAGGAATCCGGATAGTTTTATAGAATAACTAAGGATCAAGAGAAGGGAATCTGGATAGTTTTATAGAATAACTAAGTGATAAAGAGAAGGAATCTGGATAGTTTTATAGAATAACTAAATGATCAAGAGAAGGAATCTGGATAGTTTTATAGAATAACTAAGCGCCCAAGAGAAGGAATCTGGATAGTTTTATAGAATAACTAAGGATGAAGAGAAGGAATCTGGATAGTTTTATAGAATAACTAAGTGATGAAGAGAAGGGAATCTGGATAGTTTTATAGAATAACTAAGGATGAAGAGAAGGGAATCTGGATAGTTTTATAGAATAACTAAGTGATGAAGAGAAGGAATCTGGATAGTTTTATAGAATAACTAAGGATGAAGAGAAGGAATCTGGATAGTTTTATAGAATAACCAAGTGATGAAGAGAAGGGAATCTGGATAGTTTTATAGAATAACTAAGAAGATCAAGAGAAGGAATCTGGATAGTTTTATAGAATAACTAAGTGATGAAGAGAAGGGAATCTGGATAGTTTTATAGAATAACCAAGTGATCAAGAGAAGGGAATCTGGACAGTTTTATAGAATAACCAAGTGATCAAGAGAAAGGAATCTGGACAGTTTTATAGAATAACTAAGGATGAAGAGAAGGGAATCTGGACAGTTTTATAGAATAACTAAGTGATGAAGAGAAGGAATCTGGATAGTTTTATAGAATAACCAAGGATGAAGAGAAGGGAATCTGGATAGTTTTATAGAATAACCAAGTGATGAAGAGAAGGGAATCTGGATAGTTTTATAGAATAACTAAGGATGAAGAGAAGGAATCTGGATAGTTTTATAGAATAACCAAGGATGAAGAGAAGGGAATCTGGATAGTTTTATAGAATAACTAAGGATGAAGAGAAGGAATCTGGATAGTTTTATAGAATAACTAAGTGATGAAGAGAAGGGGATCCGGATAGTTTTATAGAATAACCAAGTGATCAAGAGAAGGAATCTGGATAGTTTTATAGAATAACCAAGGATAAAGAGAAGGAATCTGGATAGTTTTATAGAATAACTAAATGATGAAGAGAAGGGAATCTGGATAGTTTTATAGAATAACTAAGGCTGAAGAGAAGGGAATGTGGATAGTTTTATAGAATAACCAAGGATGAAGAGAAGGAATCTGGATAGTTTTATAGAATAACCAAGGATGAAGAGAAAGGAATCTGGATAGTTTTATAGAATAACTAAGGATGAAGAGAAGGGAATCTGGATAGTTTTATAGAATAACCAAGGATGAAGAGAAGGAATCTGGATAGTTTTATAGAATAACCAAGGATCAAGAGAAGGAATCTGGATAGTTTTATAGAATAACTAAGGATGAAGAGAAGGGAATCTGGATAGTTTTATAGAATAACTAAGTGGATCAAGAGAAGGAATCTGGACAGTTTTATAGAATAACCAAGGATCAAGAGAAAGGAATCTGGACAGTTTTATAGAATAACTAAGGATGAAGAGAAGGGAATCTGGACAGTTTCATAGAATAACGAAGTGATGAAGAGAAGGAATCTGGATAGTTTTATAGAATAACCAAGGATGAAGAGAAGGAATCTGGATAGTTTTATAGAATAACCAAGTGATGAAGAGAAGGGAATCTGGATAGTTTTATAGAATAACTAAAGTGATGAAGAGAAGGAATCTGGAGAGTTTTATAGAATAACTAAGTGATGAAGAGAAGGAATCTGGATAGTTTTATAGAATAACCAAGGATGAAGAGAAGGGATCCGGAT